TCAGCACAGAGCAAGGGTTGCATCATACCAACTACTTTTATGGAGATGTTTGGTCTTTTTCTGAGCTTTTTAGAGAACCAGAGGTCAATATGATTTTTGCAGAACAGCAAATCTACTTAAAGGTTTTTTGTTTTTTTTTGGATGTTGAGGAAATGATGACATCATTTATACATTTGGGTGTACTATTCCTTTAATATCATGCCAGTCAAGACTAAAACTAACAGCAGAAAATTATTCTGGAAGAATTAAGTCATCCAGCTTACATACGCCAGCGCTAAAGCCAGTGCTTCGGAGTCATAGATGAATTTCATAAACATCCTTGAGGGTCAGGTGCGCTAAAAAGCGGGCTGTGCCCTCCCTGCCAGAAATAGATAGGCTAATGGTGGCACGTTATGAAAATTAATCTAGCCAACGTTTGCGCTGCCTTCTGCTTCTGCATCACTAAAAGCCCCTGTCAAAACGTCAAGTCGAATTAACGATTGGTCTTGTCAGGAGAGGGCTGGCTTTGGCCGCGGCCCATCTCGCGTCCTCTTCTTCCCGGAGCCCCACAGCTTGTTTTAGCGCTGCTGGATACATCACCTCCTATAGCCATCAGCGGCACCTATCACCTGATCTATAATTTCATGTGTGTAGAAATGGCCTTGTCCCTGCGCCTCATATAATCAATCAAAGCCCCTGCTTGCTCACACACACACACACACACACACACACACACGACTGTGTAACCTGTAGTGCGGCGTGTAATAACACCCCTAAAAATAAGGCAGTAATTGATTTTCCTAGCTGTCAGTCTCCCTGGTGAGAGACTTTGAATATCGCATCACCACGTGGCAGCCGGGCAGATTATTATTATAACAGACCGATTTCCCTCAAGGATTCCCTGCTATCAACTCAGCAGAAAAACGGCAGAGGTGAGAAAAGGAAAAAGAAAGATAACCAGAAAAAAAAGGAGCAGCGCATAGTAACTAAACTATACCGAAAAGGGCAATGTGGGAAATATGAAAACCTTTCAAAAACAAATATGGACAAAACGCGAGCAGGGTTTAGCGAACGCCGTGCAGCCGGCCAACACTTATCTCCCGGCGTTCCTGCCGGTTTTCCTGCCTCTGAGGGCCCGAGGTGGTAGACGTATAAGAGCGGGGCCCTGGAAAGCCTGCTGTGTTTGGGACAGAGCTGGCAATGTGTTGGGCCCGCAGCCAAAGCCTGATTCCCAGCCCATAGTGGAGAGTGTCAGAGACAAGACAAGTGCTTAGAAATGGAGTTCAGATGTTGCTTTGAGTGGACGCAGGCTTATTGTCATCGCAGGGCCTCAGCAATGCTTCTGCTAAAGATGGCATTGTGCCTATTGTTACATTTCAATTATGCAGCATCATCAACAAAGGCTTGGCAACAAAGTTTGTTTGTTTTATGGCTGTATAATGTGAAGGCCGGTCCAAACACACATTTTAAGGGCATTTTCTTTTTTTTTTTTGCAAGGGGTCATCGGACGCCCATTTTCCACAAGTTGATATGATTCTTTAGGGTCTTAATGAAAAGTCTATAACTTACTTTGGTTCAAATTTCTCAATGGTAGTGTAAAAAACACCCTATTTACCCAGTCAAAATCAGCTCTGTTTTCAGCACGCCGTTCTAGTCCATGTTTCTTTAAATGCTAATGAGCTCTGCTGACCCCGCCCCTCTCTTCTGTGGGTGACGAGCCGTTCTCATGATACTGTTTACTTTAGCCACGGAACTTGCTAACTAGCACGTTATTAGGAAAGGCAATTTGCAAAGATTCATAAAAAACCCTTATACTTACTTCTTCTGTAGATGAAGCTGGATCACGAATGATTGGCGCGAACATAGACGCATTTAGGCAGATCGGGAATCGGCGCATTCACAGAACTACGTCATTCTGACAGGAATCTCAGAACAGCCTGATTTGAGACAGGGGATTTTAAAATGGGTGGATTTTTATCATTATAGGGTGGATGTGTACACACACTTCCAACACAGATTTATGTTCAAACAACAACAAAAGTGAATTTTGCATCCGATGACCCCTTTAACATATACAGTGTATTGGCTGAAAGTGATGTCCAGCCTAGGAAAAGGAATCTTTGCTCTTTATTCAAACATTTTATTATTAAGGATTTTATAAGCATATTGCATAGTTGTGCTTGGAGCGTAAATCTAATGTATGCGCTCAGTTGTTTCATTTGTAATAATGTGATGACTAATTCTGCCATAAAAATAAATAAATAAATAAATACATTAAAAAATAAGCACGCACATCACACACAAAACTGGAAAATGGCTTCTGTAATCAAAAACAAGGAAAATCAATGAAATATTAAGTATATTCTTGTATTCAGTGTATGCTTTATTTCCTGCGAGCTTGTTGCTTTTCTCACATTTTGTACATAGTAAAATAATTAGCGCTGTGGAACGATTAATCGTGATTAATCACATCCAAAATAAAAGTTTTTGTTTACATAATATATGTACTGTATGTATACTGTGTATATGTATTATGTATATATAAATACACACACGTGCATGTATATATTTCAGAAAAATATGTTATTTTATATATTAAATATATGTATTTATAATATAAATTATATGAATATAAATATAGACATGTAAATACATTTAAATATTTTCAAAATATATACTGTATGTTTGTGTATTTATATATACACACATAATAAATATACACAGAACACACATATATTATGCAAACAAAAACTTTTATTTTGGATGTGATTAATCGTGATTAATCGTTTGACAGCACAACAAAATAATAGATATTTTAGAAGAAAATAATAATAATAATTATTATTTTATTATTATTATTATTTTTATCTTGTAGGGTCATTAAAAGCAAATATTGAGAAATATCCTCTCTGGACATTACTTTTGGCCACTATTGTACATATGAATATACACTACTGGTCAAAAGTTTTATTTATTTATTTATAATATTTTTATGCTCATAAAGGTTTGATTTACTTCATCAAAAACACAGTAAATATAGCAATTTTGTGAAAATGTATTAGAATTTAAAATAGCTCTTTTCTATGTGAATATATTTTAAAATAGAATTTATTAATTCAAATAATTCAAAGCTGTATTTTCAGCATCATAACTCCAGTCTTCAGTGTCACATGATCTTCAGAAATCATTCTAATATGCTGATTTGCTGCTCAAGAAACATTTCTGATTATTATTAATGTTGACAACAGTTGTGCTACTTCATATTGATATTATATTATATATAAACCCATATTTCTATTTAAAATTGCTGCTCTGCTGTTACCCATCTTTGTGAGAGGGAAAAGAACATCTGCCTAGAAACAACATTGCTAATTATTTGAGAGACAGGAAGCCAAAATGAGAGTAACTAAAAAACAAAACAAAACACCATCCCTTTCATTCAGTCCCTCACTAAGGGCCTTCATTTAGTCCGCAGCCCCAAAAAAACTCCATTATCAGGTTGGTTCCTTCCCATCAGAAGCACAAAAGAAACAAACAATCCATACGTGATCAATTTAATGTACTGTTATAAAAGCTCTCAACCGTTTACACCAATGACATCTAAGAGCTTTCCCAGAACTTTTACCTCCCCGGACCCCATTTACTTAATTAGACAGTTTGCTAATTTCCCGGGCAGCAGTGGTTAATTGCGAGGCTTTTTATGGGGATCGGGACACAGCCGCTCACCTCTCCTGCTCCAGCCTCATTCTCTGCGTCTCCTCCTCAGTGGCCTGATCTTCCTTCATCTTGCTCTTGCTGGACCCCTTCCGCTCCATCTTGTCCCCTTGCCTCTCGTCTTTGCGGTTTTTGCTGAACCTGCGTCAGCGGAGACAGAGTGTGGGATGAATTCAGACGGACTGTTTGTGTTTAAGGTGGTTTCTTTTTTTCAATAAGAGCACTGGCATACTTAAAGGAAATTAAACTGTCAGAATATTTGACATGTCAAGGAGAGGAACGGCCAGGTATGACAACATATCCCTTCACATTTCCACAAAAAAGAATGCAATATAAAATCACTTAATATTTAATAAAAAAAAAGTAGCAGGTATCTTAAATAACACTACTTTATGCATGTTTCTAAATGCACTGAAATAAAGTTGCACTTGAAACGTCTGTCAATAATAAAGCTATAATTATAAAACTGGAACCTGAGCAACAGTACAGCTTGATGGAATCAATTCCAACTTATTTCACCAGTAAACAACAAAATAAATAAATGTCATAACTAGCATTTGATTCAACAAATTTTACTCATGTCCACTAGAAATTGTACTGGGTCCAGTAGAAATTAATCTTTTTCGACAGTATTTGTGGTAGTATTTTGTTGATAACCACAAAATGACTTTCCACTTACCCTTTTCTTTAAATAAATAAATACATACATACATAACATGGTTACAATGAGGACTCCAGTCTTCAGTGTCACATGATCTTCAGAAATCATTCTAATATGCTGATTTGCTGCTCAAGAAACATTTCTGATTATTATTAATGTTGACAACAGTTGTGCTACTTCATATTGATATTATATTATATATAAACCCATATTTCTATTTAAAATTGCTGCTCTGCTGTTACCCATCTTTGTGAGAGGGAAAAGAACATCTGCCTAGAAACAACATTGCTAATTATTTGAGAGACAGGAAGCCAAAATGAGAGTAACTAAAAAACAAAACAAAACACCATCCCTTTCATTCAGTCCCTCACTAAGGGCCTTCATTTAGTCCGCAGCCCCAAAAAAACTCCATTATCAGGTTGGTTCCTTCCCATCAGAAGCACAAAAGAAACAAACAATCCATACGTGATCAATTTAATGTACTGTTATAAAAGCTCTCAACCGTTTACACCAATGACATCTAAGAGCTTTCCCAGAACTTTTACCTCCCCGGACCCCATTTACTTAATTAGACAGTTTGCTAATTTCCCGGGCAGCAGTGGTTAATTGCGAGGCTTTTTATGGGGATCGGGACACAGCCGCTCACCTCTCCTGCTCCAGCCTCATTCTCTGCGTCTCCTCCTCAGTGGCCTGATCTTCCTTCATCTTGCTCTTGCTGGACCCCTTCCGCTCCATCTTGTCCCCTTGCCTCTCGTCTTTGCGGTTTTTGCTGAACCTGCGTCAGCGGAGACAGAGTGTGGGATGAATTCAGACGGACTGTTTGTGTTTAAGGTGGTTTCTTTTTTTCAATAAGAGCACTGGCATACTTAAAGGAAATTAAACTGTCAGAATATTTGACATGTCAAGGAGAGGAACGGCCAGGTATGACAACATATCCCTTCACATTTCCACAAAAACACTGCAATATAAAAAATATAATCTTATCTTTAATAAGAAGTAGCAGGTATCTTATATAACACTTCTGTATGCATGTTTCTAAATGCACTGAAATAAAGTTGCACTAGAAACGCCTGTCAATAATAAAGCTATAATAATAAAACTGGAAATCGAGCAACAGTGCAGCTTTATGGAATCAATTCCAACTTATTTCACCAGTAAACACTAAATAAATAAATTAATCCATCCATCTCCTGTCTGTCTGTCTGTCTGTCTGTCTGTCTGTCTGTCTGTCTGTCTGTCTGTCTGTCTGTCTGTCTGTCTGTCTGTCTGTCTGTCTGTCTGTCTGTCTGTCTGTCTGTCTGTCTGTCTGTCTGTCTGTCTGTCTGTCTGTCTGTCTGTCTGTCTGTCTGTCTGTCTGTCTGTCTGTCTGTCTGTCTGTCTGTCTGTCTGTCTGTCTGTCTGTCTGTCT